AGCAGCACAATTGGAAGAGCGTAGTCGATGTCCCTGAACTGTGCATGTAGAAATTTTTGAAATGGTGTATCTTTGTCTATGTATATTTTCACCAAAAAAAAAAAAGTCGAGAAGGGGGAGGGTTGACATGTTGTGGGGTTGTTAACCAATGTCATAGAGCAATATGTGTACTACTGTTTCATGAGAAACTATTTGTTCTGTAAGCCTTCACCTGAAGTACAATCAATCAATCAATCAATCAATCAATCAATCAATCAATAAACAAACAAACAAACAGTAACAGCCCAAAAAGAAAACTCTAGCGGTTCTATAATTTCTTCACAGGCAAATGTATTCATTTTATCTGCCAGTTCATGTGAATAGAACAGAAATACCAGGAAGAAATGGTGTTAAAGTGAAAGAATATAAAAGGTACGTTTGATGCTTAACCAAAAAACCAAAGCAGCTGCCACTGAGATTCCAACTCATGGCAACCCCGTGGGTGCACAGTAGGGTTCTCAAGACTGTGACCCTTCAGACGCAGATCACCAGGCCTTTCTTCTGAGGCACCTCTGAGGGGGCACAAACTGCCTATCTCCCCCCTAGTAGGTGAGTGCTTCCATGTTTGTGCCACCCAGAGACTCAATTCAGACATTCTGTTGCCTTCATTGTCTAAAATTTATCTTTCCAACTAATGCACATGGAACACAGGTTTGTGTGTATGCGACCTACACACAGAGGAGCCCTGGTGGCACGGCGGTTAAGAGCTTGGCCGCTAACCAAAAGGTCGGCAGTTCAAATCTGCCAGCCGCTCCTCAGAAACCCTATGGGGCAGTTCTAGTCTGTCCTACAGGGTCGCTATGAGTTGGAATCGACGTGACAGCAAAGGGAACCTACCCAAACGCAGGTTTGTGTGTTATGCACACAGGCACAGCTTAGGGAAAGGCCGATTGTATGTGACTATTCTCATTTGACATGGCATCTGTGGGTTGGCTCATTACACTTGGAAAGCCACAAAAACCACAGCTGAGAATTTCATATTTACCTTCATCACGCGTTTAACTCCTTTCTCTTAGTAATATTTAGTAGGTAAATTCTTTATGTCCAAGAAATCCGAGTACTTTCCATTCAGTGCCTTCAACTTCTGCTTGAGTACCCCCTGTGACCTCACAATTAGCTTGGATGTTAAAAGGCACGCGCACGGTGAAGGCTATGACTTCAAAGCATTTTGGGTCAGAAGTCGCTCTGCCAAATGAGAACAGCATTAAAAGCCACTCCAAAAAAAGTGACTGAAAGTAATAAAATATTTACATTTTAAAATGCCAGCACCAATTAACAGAAATACTACAGGACACAAGGAAAGGATTAGTCCAAAGGACTAACTGTCCACAGCTACCAAGGCCTCCACTGGACTGAGTCCAGTACAGCTAGATGGTGCCCGACTACCACCACTGACTGCTCTGACCGGGATCACAATAGAGGGTCTCAGACAGAGCTGGAGAAAAATGTAGAACAAAATTCTAACTCACAAAAAAAAGACCAGATTTACTGGCCTAAAGGAAACTGGAGAAACCCCGAGAGTCTGGCCCCTAGACACCCTTTTAGCTCAGTGGTGAAGTTACCTCTGAGAGTCACTGTTCAGCCTGGGAGTGGACAGCCCCGTAAAACCAAATGAGACTAACGAGGTACAGGAGTCCAGTGACAAGGGCCAGAAAGCAGAAGGCGACAAGGAAGCTGGTGATAGGGAACCCAAGGTTGAGTAAGGATATCGTTGATGTGTTGTGAGATTGTTAACCATTGTCATAGAGTAACGTGTAGTAACCGTTAAATGAGAAACTATTTTGTTCTGTAAGCCTTCATCTTAAGTGAGAATAATAGCACAATTCGAAGAGCGCAGTCGATGTCACTGAACTGTGCATGTAGAAATTTTTGAAATGGTGTATCTTTGGCTATGTGTATTTTCACCCAAAAAAAAAAAAAAAAAAAGGGTGAGAAGTTAGAGGGTTGATATGTTGTGGGGTTGTTAACCAATGTTATAAAACAACATGTGTACTTCTGTTTCATGAGAAACTATTTGTTCTGTAAGCCTTCACCTGAAGTACGTTAAAAAAAAAATTAAAAAAAAAGAAATACTTACCGGGTGCATCGTAACTTTCGAGCAAACTCTCAAATTCAAAGTTTAGTTCGGTCAGGACACCGCAGGCTAGTTAACTGTACCCTCTTTATCCTGAATAATGAAACCCTGTTCCCTGCCCTATTACTACTCTTTTACGCCACCAATTACAACATATAAAACTAGTATATAGAACGCTCGCGTTATTGGCATTTAAAATGCTAAATCTCTTCTTTTAATTCTTAGTCTCTGTTTTTACTTTTCCGATAATCTGGCAAGGAAACTCATTTTAGACACTGGAAAAAAACAGCTGCTGTTGAGTCGATTCTGACTCATGGCAACCTCACATATGTCAAAGTAGAACTGTGCTCCATGCGGTTTTCCAGGGCTGATTTTTCAGATATAGATCGCCAGGCCTTTCTTCCGAAGAGCCTCTGGGTGGACTTGAACCATCAACGTTCTGGTTATCAGCGAAGCACACTGACCATCTGCATCAACCAAGGACTCCCCATTGTAGACAGAGCTTCGCCAGATACGCTAAACCTCACAAATATGCCGCCTCCTTACACTATTCCAACTTACTTTAACAGCATACTAGGATCCCGTATTTCTAAGTAAACCTCCAAACCGGTTTTTATTTACAGATAGTCAACTCATTTTTGAAAATCAAATTCAAATTCATATCAACGTAAAACTAACGTAAAATTACATTAATGTATGTTTTAAAGATTAAGAAAAATCAGTTACCGTATTTATAATTTCTGAATGGTGGTGGCAGGCTGGGCCTTAAAGGGATATCTGTAAGAGAAAGAATATGTTTCTTATAAAATATTCAAATATATATTCATAGCATACACAGTCTTTTGGTCCTGCTCTCCTATACCTACGGACTAAATCACTTCAAAACTGATAGGACGCAACCAGGTCATCAAAATGCAAAGATCATCTAAGTCAACGGAACCCTTGATCAGATGCTGAGCTGTCACCAACTGTCATTCGATGAGCTAGGAATTCAGTAACACTGTTAAAGAAACGGGCATTTTATTAACCACAACAGCAGCCACATACACTGATGCACACCACACATGCGTGTGTGAGATGAATTTATTTTGTTCCCACAGTCCAACCTGTGAGAGCCAAAACAGCTTGACGGGATGGCCTTGTTTTCCCGGGTCTCCCGAGTTTTCCCCCTTTGCCAGGTGCACCCACCACTTTCCTATCGCTCTATTAGTGGAAAATATTTGCATTTTCCTTCTCTGGTAAGTTTCCCCTTTTTACACAGGTTCCGGCTTCCGCAGGTTTTACTGTGGTTAATGTTTGCTTAGGACAGGGATTTAAGAACTCCTTGAGGGTCTTTGGCCAGTAGCAGGAACCAATGATCTAGAACAATTTTATCACTCTTATCTAACTCAGACAACTTACAATGTAATTTCTATAAGCAACGACTTAGCAAAAACAATACCACCAAAAGCAGAGTGAATATTCTTTTTAAAAATTTAGTATTTAAAAAATGCCAAATACCAGTATGAGTTTTAACTAATATCATCTGACGGTACCACCCCGACAGAGGGCAACTGGTAATATATATCAAAATTACACAGGCATATACCCAGCAGTTCCACTTTGGGAAATTTATTGATATACTTTGCACATCTGTGTGTGTGTGTGTATAAAATTACATACATACGAGGATACTAAATGCAGCACACTGTTAATAGCAAATGCCTAGAAAAATCCACGTGTCCATCGATAGGGTACTTGTTAAATAAATTATAATCAAACAATGAAAGAGATTTTGTAAGTATTAAAAACAAAAAAAAAGGTGCTCTCCAAGGCTCCCCAAGTCCTAACGCGGTAAGATTCTCAAGGATGTGTGAAGGGTAAAGAAAGCCTGAGGCAGAACATGATTTTTAGTAAGCCACGTTTTGAGTAAAAAGGGGGAAGAATATACATTTGTATTTGATTGTACATACATAAGAAGACTCCAGAAAGACACCAAAACACCGAATTCCAGGGGTTCCGTGTGTGTCTCTGGGGAGGGAAGTGCAGTGGGGGCAACAGTGTTTGCAAGGAGACTTCTCACTATATCCCTGACTACATTTTTATTTTAAAACAATATGAATGTGTTACCTATTAAAAAAAACTAAAATCTCCACATATCTGAATCAGGAAATGTGTTTTTTTAAGTACATTTGCCTTTCAGAAGTCAAATACATACCAAATTAAAATATAATTTATGCATTTATGCCACAAGCATTTAGAATGTTTACTCCCTGAAACTCCAGGACCAGGGGAAGAAGCAGTTGCTGCGACAAGTCCCCACTCGGGCGAATGCACACACGCTCAGTGGTAAACTCAGTGTGAAGTACGTTTAAAGTCAGTGCTGTGGTCTCACGGGAGCGGTTTTCAACCCTGGGGGTGCGTCTCAATCACCCAGCCCAGAGCAAGTGGATGGGGCTCGCTGCAGGCTGGTCCCAGGCATATTTAAATACAAAACCCTCCAGAAAGGATTCTCAGCCATCCAAAGTCACATGCTTAAAGAGGCCCGACAGATAACAGGAGTGAAGCGGTAAAACAAGACGGGGCAGTGAGATCCAGAGAGCACCATCCCATTAAAAGGGGGCTGCCACCATTCGGTTCTAATTGATTATGGTCCTACAAAGTGGGGGCCCAGCACAGCCACACCTAAACACTTAAATGGAAATGCTAACAGTCTGGGGTTTTATGTGAAACTGCCTGACTTAAACTACTGTAGGTCAAAGGACACCTGCCTGGAGGTGGAATTCGCCTGTCAAACACCAACCTGCAACCTCTGGCTTTGGTTTACCCGAGCACATGTGCTTCGTTTGATCCTGTTGGCTTCTCACCCACCTACAAATCTTGGGCCAAAGAAATATTAATTAAATCATTCGAGGCGAACTGTTGTGGTTGTGTGGTAGGCCACAGAGTTGATTCTGACTCACAGCAACCCTGCAGGAAGAGTAGAACTGCCCATAGGGTTTCCAAGGCTGTGATCTTTACAGGAGCAGATCGCCAGGTCTTTTCTTCCGTTTTTTCTCCTGCAGAGCAGACCAGTGGGTTTGAACCACTGACCTTTTGGTTAGCAGCGGAGCACTAAACCATTGTGCCACCACTTACTACCATTCATATGGCCTGAGTTAGACAATAAGATGGCCTGAAGAAGGGGTGAGACGGAGAAGAGACAGCCGCCAAGCAGCCAGCACCACTGAGCGCTGCCCACAGTGAAAGAAAGGTCATATGAACAGATCCTGAGCAGAGACAGAGGACGGCACCTCTTCCTTCCTTCCTTTCTTTCCATCTCAGCTCAAGCCTCACCTCCACAAAGCGGCCTCCCCTGACCACCCTGCCTAAAGCGGTCTCCTCTGCTATTCTTGTTTATTTCCTTCCTTTTTTTTTTTTTTTTTACCAATTATAGTTTTGTTTCTTTACTTATTTTTGTCTAGCCCCTAAACCAGTTGTTATCTACTCAATTCCGACTCATGGCAATGCCGTGCGTGTCAGAAGCTGGATTGTATAAAGAAGAATGGGGCATCAGGATTGGAGGAAGACTCATTAACAACCTGCAATATGCAGATGACACAACCTTGCTTGCTGAAAGTGAAGAGGACTTGAAGCACTTACGGATGAAGATCAAAGACCACAGCCTTCAGTATGGATTGCACCTCAATATAAAGAAAACAAAAATCCTCACAACTGGACCAATAAGCAACATCATGATAAATGGAGAAAACACTGAAATTGTCAAGGATTTCATTTTACTTGGACCAACAATCAACACCCATGGAAGCAGCAGTCAAGAAATCAAACAATGTATTACACCGGGCAAATATCCTGCAAAACAACTCTTTAAAATTTTAAAAAGCCAAGATATCACTTTGATGACTAAGGTGTGCCTGACCCAAGCCATGGTGTTTTCAATCACCTTAAATGTATACAAAAGCTGGACAATGAAAAAACAAGACTGAAGAAGCATTGACGCATTTGAAGTACCGTGCTGGCGCAGAATATTGAATATACCATGGGCTGCCAAAAGAACAAACAAGTCTTTGGACGAAGCATGGCCACAGTGCTCCTTAGAATGGCGAGACTTCCGCTCACATACTTTGGACACGTTATCAGGAGGGACCAGTCCTTGGAGAAGGACATCATGCTTGGTAAAGTAGAGAGTCAGCGAGAAAAAAGGAAGACCCTCAAAGAGATGGACTGACACAATGACTGCAACAACGGGCTCCAAAGATACCTACCATCGTGAGGAAGGCGCGCGACTGGGCGACACTTCGTTGGATTGTTCACAGGGTCGCTCTGAGTCAAAGCAGACTCGACAGCACCTGACAACAACGATCATCTACAAGTTTTCTCCTGCCCCTTTGTAATTTTTCCTTCCCTCCCTCTTCATGGTCCCCCACCTTATCTCCAAGCTAACACTGATTTGCTTTCCGTTGCTGTAGTCTGCATTTTCTAGAAGTTTATACTTCTCGAAAATGACTTGATCTTAGTTACCTAGTGCTGCTATAACAGAAATACCACAAGTGGATGGCTTTAACAAACAGAAATATATTCTATCACAGTTTAGGAGGCTAACTTAAGTCCGAATTAAGGGCACCATCTCTAGGGGAAGGCTTTCTCTCTCTGTTGGCTCTGGGGGAAGGTCCTTGTCTCTTTTCACCATCTGTGGGCCCAGCGTCTCTTGGAGATCTCCATGTGTCTTGGCATCGATCTTCCTCTGGATCTAGCAGGTTCTCAGAGCAGAGACCCTGGGTCCAAAGGACAGGCTCTGCTCTCGGCTCTTCTTTCTTGGTGGCAGGAGGTCCCTTCCTCTCTGCTTGCTTCTCTCTCCTTTCATCTCTTGGATTAAGATAAAAGGTAATACATGCCACACACAAGGGAAACTCCTCTTACATCAGATCAGGGCTGTGACATGAGTAAGGGTGTTGAACCCCAGCCTAATCCTCTTTAACATAACCTAATCTTGCCTCATTAACCCACAGGCAGATATTAAGACTTACAACACATAGGACAATCACATCAGATCATAAAATGGACGACGACCACACAATACTGGGAATCATGGCCTAGCTAAGGTGATACATATTTTGGGGGAGACATAATTCAATCCTTGCATTCTATCCTTTGGCCCCCCAAAATTCATGTTCTTGTCACATGTAAAACATTTTCTCCCCATCATATTACCCCAAATCAATTTCAAGTCCAAATTCCAGCTTGGGGCAAAATCCCTCTTCATCTGAGAACCTGTGGAATCCAGAATACAAGTTATCTGCTTCCAAAGTACGATGGTGGAATAGGTACAAGGTAGACACGTCCATTACAAATAGGAGAAATTAGAGTTGGAAATGAGGAATAACGGGCACCAAGCAACTCAAAAACCCAGCAGAACAACGTGCATTAGCTCTCGAGGCTTGAAAATAGTCCTCAGTTCTCTGAGACCATCTAGGCCCTGCCCTGCAGACTCTGGATATTGCTGATGCTCTCTGGATTCTGGATGGAGGTCCCTTAGTCCTAGGCTTCAGCTCTGCTTTCCAGGCCCACTGGGAAGGCAATTCTGCTCCCTCAGCTTTGGGCGGTCCCATTCTTCTAGTCCAACTGAGTGACGACCCCATACCCTCGGCCCTGGCTGGCCCTGTTCATCTGTCCCTGGGACATGGCACCCCCACCCCTCAGCTTTGGGTGGTGGCCCCGTGCCCCTGGCACTCAAGAATGGCAGCCCCACACTCTGGAACCAAGTTGGTGAAGATCTGACTCTTTGAAACCTAGGAGTC